AAAAACGTGCCCAAAAAAAAAAAAAAAAATGCCAAGGAGGCTGGCAGGTGGCATAGTGGTTACGGGCGCCAGACTCCCACACGGCCGACCACAGTTCGAGTCCTGTTTCGGAAGGCTTGCTTTCTCAATTTTCCCTCTTTCTAGTTCTGTCCCTTTCAGGTCAAATGAAAATAAATAAATAAATAAATAAATAAAATTAAGTAAAATTATTCTTAAAAAAAAAAACAGCACCCAAGGGACCAGCAGTTAGCGTAATGGCTATGTCGCTGGACTCCCATGTAGTTGATCATGGTTCGGGTCCCGGACCCGGTGGCTTAAACTCTCACCAGGCACATGTGCATGTGTGCCCAAGATCCCGAGAGGAGAATGGAGGAGAAGGGATTGCGGCGTGGCCATCCCCCCTGGGGGGTGATTTCTCGCTTTCTGTCTCTCTGTCTCTCTCTGTCTTTCTGGTAAGCGCACGCGCCCTATAGCAAAAACCTCTCCAAAAACAAACAAAAAAACCCACCCTAGTGTATGTGGATCCATGCCCAAAATCTTGAGAGGAGAATGGAGGTGAAGGGATTAGGCTGTGGCCCTCCACCCCCGACCAAGGGGTGCTTCTCTTTTTCCTCTCTGTCTCTCTCCAGCAAGCACACCGTGTCTTGCATAACAAGCTAAAAATAAATAAATACATAGACCTTAAAAAAGGAAAAAGACAGTTCCGCTAGGTGACATGAACTCTAGAGGAGGGACCGAGGGACCCAAGTTCCCCAGAAACCACAAATCTCAGTACAGTTTTTAAAGCCCCGAGTGGATCGATTCCCGCTCCCGGCTCAATAGCAGCGTGGGTCCCTCCCTCTCTCCCGACCCCTCAGCTCTGTCCACTCAGAGCCGGGCTGGAAGACTCAACCCCAACTTCACCAATGAGGAGACTGAGACAGCCAGAGGGTGGCCGTGGAGCGGGGGGACCCAGATAACTACCCGTGTGAATACGAGTTTGCTCCCGGCTCATCTACGGATGACCACGTGTGGCTCTGGGCATTCGGGTCCCCTCCTATCGTGCCCCACGCGGCCCCCATCATGCAGAGCCGTAATGGAGAACATGGTGACAAAAGAAAAGAGCAAAAAGTGGTTCCAGCCCAGCCCAGCCCAGCCCAGCCCAGCCCAGGAAATGACACCTGCTACTTCTCCCAAAAGCAGGCCCAGAGGAGGGGGTCTCTCTTCTGTCCCCAAGGGGGGAAAGGATGCTCATAGGGGACCTCGGAGCAGGGGTGGAACTCACCGGACAAGGCACAAGGGTGACCAGGTCCCTGGCTCATGGACCGGTGCCAGGAGACAGCCACGGGGCCCTGTCACTTCCGCCGGCACCAAGCGGGGCCTGGCGTGTAAGTGTGTGTGTGTGTGTGTGTGTGTGTGTGTGTGGTTACGGGGGTGGGGACAGGAAGCTCGCCTGGTCCCGCCTACACCCAACCGCCGTGTCCCCCCCCCCACCAGCACCCCTGGGACCTCTCTGAAGCCACATAAGCCACGGCTGAGTAAACGGAGCCTCCTGGTCCAAGGGTCCCTACAGCCTTGTGCTATTATTTATTTAATTTTTAGGGGGAGAGGTTTTTGCTCTAGGGCGCGTGCACTCACCAGACAGAGAGAGACAGAGAGACAGAAAGCGAGAAATCCCCCCCCAGGGGGGATGGCCACGCCGCAATCCCTTTTCCTCCATTCTCCTCTCGGGATCTTGGGCACGCACGCACACGCACCTGGAGGGAGTTTAAGCCACCGGGTCCGGGTCTTGAACCTTGGTCGACTCCGTGGGAGTCCAGCGACATAGCCATTACGCTAACTGCTGATGCCGCCTTGTGCTATGATTAACCAGCAAGGATAATAGTAACTACTGGGCCCAGCAGGTAGCATGGTGAGGAAGGTTCTAGACTTCCACATGGTTGACTGCAGTTCGAGTCCCAGATCTGGCAGCTTGCTTTCTCACTTTCCCTCTCTTTGTTTTTTTTCTTTCTTTCTCTCTTTCTCCAGTCAAATGAAAGAAGAAGAATAAAATAAATAAAATAAATAATAAATTTTATTTTACTTTTTAAAGAATTATTTTATTTACCTTTATTTATTTAAATTTGACCAGAGAGGGGCAGAGAGAGAGAGAGAAGGAGAGTTAGAAAGCAAGCTGCCAGGTTCGGGTTGTGATAATAATAATAATAATAGTAACTACAATTGTGAGGGGCCGGCAGGTGGCGTGGTGGTTAAGGCGCTGGACTCCCACATGGCCGACCGCGGTCCATGTTCCAGACCTGGTGGCTTGCTTTCTCGCTTTCTTTTTCTAATTCTCTGGTCAAATTAAAAAATAATAATAAATAAAATTAAATAAATAATTCTTTTAAAAAATAGTAATGACAGCCGTGAAATAAGAGTACCCTCCCTGGCACACCCGCCCTGGCCTAAGCAGTCCACACACTCTCCTAAGGTGGGTAGATCATGCTCACTTCACAGGAGGAGAAACTGAGGCTCAGAGAGGAAAGGGATTTTTGCCTTTGTGAGCTTGTGTTTTTTGTGTTTGTTTGTTTGTTTTTAGTTTTGCTAGAAGGGATGTGTGCTCTTTAGACACAGACAGAAAGAGAGAAGAAAGCGAGAAATCACCCTCCAGGGGGGATGGCCACGCCGCAATCCCTTCTCCTCCATTC